GCAAGTGTGTGCGGAAGTGTAGAAAAGCAATGTATGCAAGCAAAGGATTTAAAATGAATTTAGATGTAGTGTTTCATAAGTGTGAGATGAAGGATTTATGAATTTTTTTTTGGGATAGATGTGTTCCTGAGATTGTGCAGGGTCGAAGGGACGCATTTTGGGCCATGGCCAGTGTCTGGATCCAGAGATCCACCTTCGTATTTTTCCTCATAAGAGCCATACAAATAAAAATAGATCACGATTTTGTGCTGTGGCTGTGCTGTCGATCATGAACATTCAATGTTAAGTTTTTTTTATTAGTGCGCGATATAGAAAGCCTTTCCTGTGCGCTCTGTGTAAGAGCGCTTAGCTCATGACGTGAAAACACTGTGTTGGGTGTTACATTCACTTCACGCCTGAAACGCTGTAAAAAGAATCATTATTGAAAAATCGTACCTAGACTGAGACCAACGTGGGAAATCTTTTGCAATGCTTTAGATTAACTTTAGTTCGTGACTGCCTGAAAGGCTGCCACAAATTTCGGCTAATTGACCCACTTCCCGTCAACCTATCGAGATGAAACTTGGCACATAGACTCGTTGCCGATGACAACACGTTCTATCGAATGTTTTAGCCCCACCCCCCAAGCCTCGAAAAAAAACGTTTTTTCCTGTTTTTCAAGGGGGAGATAAATACAATGTAATGACGCTGATTTCACGAAATAAAATTCCCCAATAACTGCGCAAATTCAGATTCTTTAAAGACAAATATCGCCATGGCATTTGGAGCGTAAAATTTCTTTTTGTCTTTCGGAAAAAGTTGTTGAAATAAATCTGAGTTGTAACAGCGGGTGGGTCAATAGAATATTTATATAGTTCAGGGGCGTGAAAAAATGTGAGGGCCACGAGCCATTGTGTGTGTGTGTGTGGGGGGGGGGGCACTAATAGGGTTTCCTTGTAAAGTGCGTTACTTGTCGGCAAGTTTTGTCAAAAGTTCAACCCCACCCCCAGTGCTCGATATTAGATTTTATGAAGGATTTATACGGAAAAATTTTGTTTTTAAGTGTTGTTTAATCCCTACATAGCCAGAACAGTGGTACGCGCGAATGAAAAGTAAAATGCGTCACACTATAGATATATAGCATAAAACCTTTCTATTCAAGTAAATGACAGTGAACACCGCCTCTGATTGGTTTGTTTTATTTTTTATTAATTAAAAAAAAAATTATCTTCTGCGCAGACGATCTTGACGTCATACATTTTAATCAATTTAAAATTCTTCTCTGCTTTTAGGGCGTTCAAACTCGTCTTTGATAGAGAGTTTTTTTCTTTTTGTTTTAAAGTTAACTTTTTTTTCTTTTCTTTCTCTATTCTAATTTTTGGCATGATTAATGATAATCTTGAAATTATCGAAAAAGAAGAACTACGTTGTTCCGAGTCTGAAGGGTTGTATGCCCCGCCTCTAGCCACTTCCGAACCACCGCCTCCTCAATGTCCTACAGCTTTCATCTTAGCTCCACTACCCGCCCTTCTCGTGGCGTTCTCTGAACAAAGCAGACGCAATCAACCACGATCAACTGAGCGGGTGAATCCCGTGTGACGACAATAGAAAATATGCGACAAACATGCGAACTCCGTGGATTTGTGAGTAGAAAATAAAACGTCTTTAAAAAAGAATTGATCAGAGAAAAATCAGGTTTTAGAGATGTTTTTGGTGTTCATGGGAGATAATTGGAGCAAGGGAGATCATTATTTGACGCAGAGTTAAGCTGAGTTGAACGACTGAACGCTGAACAAATCATGATCAAAGGCGAAGTAGGAGAAAAGAGTCTTGGTGCTATTTGACACAAAGAGAATCATTGTAGAATCCCATGATGAGAAAATGACAGAGATGCGACCTTTGATCTCTTATGGAATCTCAAAAAGTCACATTGATAAACTTGTAATATTTATATCTTTCATTAAACAGAACATTTTAAAATTTCCTTTTTTTTTAACCAGTAATAATTGCATTTGTATAAACAATTTAAAGTTACATTTGTGTTAACCAGTTACTGTTTCATTTGTGTAAACAAGTCAAAGTTACATTTGTGTAAACAAGTCAAAGTTACATTTGTGTAAACAAGTTAAAGTTACTTTTGTGTAAACAAGTCAAAGTTACATTTGTGTAAACAAGTCAAAGTTACATTTGTGTAAACAAGTTAAAGTTACTTTTGTGTAAACAAGTTAAAGTTACATTTGTGTAAACAAGTCAAAGTTACTTTTGTGTAAACAAGTCAAAGTTACTTTTGTGTAAACAAGTCAAAGTTACTTTTGTATAAACAAGTCAAAGTTACTTTTGTGTAAACAAGTCAAAGTTACTTTTGTGTAAACAAGTTAAATTTACATCTGTGTAAACAAATCAAAGTTACTTTTGTGTAAACAAGTTAAAGTTACATTTGTGTAAACAAGTCAAAGTTACTTTTGTGTAAACAAGTTAAAGTTATATTTGTGTAAACAAGTTAAAGTTACATTTGTGTAAACAAGTTAAAGTTACTTTTGTGTAAACAAGTTAAAGTTACTTTTGTGTAAACAAGTTAAAGTTACATTTGTGTAAACAAGTTAAAGTTACTTGTGTCGGAAGCAATGAAAAAGCAATCGATCTCAAGGTAATCGATGCAGACAACTTATTTCATCAGTCATTTGATTTAGAGACATGACACGATCTCAAGGTACATGTAAGTCAAAAAGTAATTTAATATGTTCAAAACAGAGCATTCAGAACAGGTCTGTCAGAAATACTATGCGCTAGAGCGAACAAAAATTGCTGCTGTACAAGTACCAGACAAAAAAAGTTTCATACATAAGGAAAATGGATCTACTTCAATCCATATTTTCTAGATCAGATATTTATAAGAATGAAATTCTTACAATTATTCAGTCTTTGAGTTCGATACAAAAAGTTCATTCAATCCAGAATGGAGGAGTTTCCACTTCCGCAGAGTGCCAGTCTTTTCTTATTAAAACTACGACCCTCTGAAGTTTCAACATTGTGCACAGAGTTTCAGTAATCCCCCTCTCACATTTGATCTCTTGAAATCAATATTTAACTTTTCCCGTTTATTGTAAATAAAAAAAATAAAAATTTATTTCTTCAGAACACAAGATGGCACAAAGAGTTCATTGTTTTTTTCCCCATATGTTTCTGAACGCGATCAATGACGTGCGTGGACTGTGAATACTCGGTAAACAATTGAAAATTAAAATCTGAAATGTTGCGTAACATGACATCAGTTCTGCCACAGCTTTTTCATCTCCCTGATCGATCTCATGGCACTTCTTGTAAACAAACCAATTTATCTCATCGCTGGAAGATGACCAAACAAACATGAAAACTTGCACTCCCTACACGGGGTAGCCTGCAATAAAAATGTTTCTTGTAGCTTTGTTAACTGTTTCATATTATTGGTTTTAGACAGACATATATGTGATTTTAATTTTAAATCAGACCAAATCTAAAAAAAAATAAATACAAATAAAAATGTATTTGATGGTATTCTTAAATCGAGTGAACCAAGGTGCGTCCTGGCTTCATAAGAAAGTAGCGCAATTACGCCCTGACAATAACTATATCCTGGACCTACCCCCACTCTGGACCAACCCCACCCTGGACCAACCCCCACCCTGGACCTACCCCCACTCTGGACCAACGACCACCCTGGACCAACCCCCATCCAGGGACCCGCAGGTCGTTCTAAAGAGGTTGGAATTGATCATGTCACTGCGGCCTGACTNAACGACCACCCTGGACCAACCCCCACCCTGGACCTACCCCACTCTGGACCTACCCCCACCCTGGACCTACCCCACTCTGGACCAACACCACCCGGGACCAACCCCCACCCTGGATCTACTCCCACTCTGGACCAACGACCACCCTGGACCAACCCCCACCCTGGACCTACCCCACTCTGGACCTACCCCCACCCTGGACCTACCCCACTCTGGACCAACACCACCCGGGACCAACCCCCACCCTGGATCTACCCCCACTCTGGACCAACCCCACCCTGGATCTACCCCCACCCTGGACCATCGACCACCCTGGACCAACCCCCATCCTGGATCTATGCACCCACCCTGGACCGACCCACCCTGACTCTACTACACCACGGCACATCACGTTATTGAAACTCACATTATGTTTTATTTTCTTTCTTGTTTGCACTACCCCGGCATGCCACGCAAGATAAATCAAACACTTAGTTTCAATTTGCTTTCACTTATTTCAAGCAGCTGTATCCACGAGTTTATCTTGACGTCCCGCGGTCCGTGACTTATCCCAGAGACAGTTACCTGCTCATTCAGAAATATGCTTTCAGCAAGCCACGGATTACCAGAGATGTTCATTAGTAGAAAATTCATAACTTTGTTCAGTACATTAGCGTGATACAAGGCCCATCTTTCAAAGTGTGCTTGACTAGCCACGCGGCTCCTCAACTAGGAGGCATTTTATCGGTCTTGTGATGAGCTTTTTGAAACACATTCACAATTTTTTTTCCCACACATCCACACAAAAGGGTGGTATAGAGGCGTGGTAGAGAGTGATGGTTGAGATGTCCGGTTTAGAGGGCTGGTTGATAGGGGTGCTAACCGTTTAAAGAAATATGTTTACTTTTGTCTTTTACCCATCTTATTAACTAGGTTTTCGAAATGAATTTACCAGCAACATAACAGGTAGAAGAGTGGAAGCAGAAGCTACATAGTTGTAAAACATTTAGGACAACATACGTGTAAATGAGTGGGGAAACATAGTAGTACAAGAGTAGGGCTTCGCAGCTGGTAGAACAGTGGGGCAACATTGTTGGGAGAGGAGTGGGGCAACATTGTTGGTATAAGAGTGAGGCAACATTCATGGTAGAAGAGTGGGACAACATTGTTGAGAGAGGAGTGGGGCAACATTGATGGTATAAGAGTGGGGCAACATTGATGGTATAAGAGTGGGGCAACATTCATGGTAGAAGAGTGGGGCAACATTCATGGTAGAAGAGTGGGGCAACATTCATGGTAGAAGAGTGGGGCAACATTCATGGTAGAAGAGTGGGACAACATAACTTTTAGAAGAATAGGGCAACAATTTTAAATTAAGAAGTTCAAACTTTATATTTTTATTCGTATTTAAAAACATAATTTTGGAGCTAGGAAAAAAAAACGATCTTACTCCATAGCTCAAGCTCAAACTCTACTCCATAGCTCAAACTCTACTCCATAGCTCAAACTCTACTCCATAGCTCAAACTCTACTCCATAGCTCAAACTCTACTCCATAGCTCAAACTCTACTCCATAGCTCAAACTCTACTCCATAGCTCAAACTCTACTCCATAGCTCAAACTCTACTCCATAGCTCAAACTCTACTCCAAATCTTAAACTCTACTCCAAATCCCAAACTCTACTCCAAATCTCTGGTTTACACACACCCATCCCCAGCCCATGCGCAAATCCCCGGAATTTTTATCAGAATTGATCTAACAAAACAAATTTTAAGACTGCAGCTCAAGGAAATAAATGCATAAATAAAGACATCTTGAAATTTTGTACCGGTAAATTTATTTTTTGAACATAATGTAATATAGTTGATGCTTTTTGTGCGTAACCCAGAGAAAACAACGAAATACAATTTTTAACTTAAATTGTTTACAATTTTTAACTTAAATTGTTTACAATTTTTAACTTAAATTGTTTTTTTAATGCAATGAAAAATTCACTTCAGAATCATCGGAATTTAAACTGCTTAATATTTCAATCGCGTTGCTCCATTCTCGTCTCTGTCACACGGAAACATGTGAGTCGTTGCCTTTCAAGTTGGTTTGGATGCGATCAGTTGGTTTTTGCCAGGCCAATGACACAGCAGCCAAGACGGGATCCGGCGTTCCCATTGGTCAGACTGGCCTGGTCTCCTCCACGCCCCAAGTCATCTGCCTTTTCATGAACCTGTGATCAAATGAAACATGCTTTTTATGCCACAAAAAAATAGAAATCGCAAGAGATTTAAAACACATTTCTGGTCTACATGAGATCACCCCATTAACGTGTTCAAGTAGAGGAAGATGTAACGGCGTCGCTAGGGCCTAAACATGTTATTTGTCCAGCGGCCAGTTTTATCATCCACCCGATGGGGTTAAGCTAGAGGCCGACCGAATTTCAGCTTCGGTTTCATCGCTGAAAGTTGCCATTTGATCCCTTTCGGCCTAGTTTCTGCTTGGGCCGAAACAGAAAAGTTAAATTATAGTTTAATTTCGGTTTCGGCTGAAACAGAAAAGTTCACTTTCGGTTTAATTTAGGTTTCGGCCGAAAGTGACTGAAGTTTTCGGTCATCTACCAAAAGTTAGACTGACCGTCTCTAGGCCCGCAATCCGATATTCATATTGCTCGAAGTCTTGCTGTCATCGTATGAACTACTTGTCCTTTATTCCCCCCCCCCCAATTAAATTTCAATTAGGCCTAGACAAATGTAAATAGTTTTGAGGAAGAAAAACTAGTTGGGGGGGGTGGTAATATTTTATAACAGTTTTGTTTTCATTTTTTCAAAAATGAAATTTGGAAACCCAAGTTTATTCAATTCATTCATTTGGGGAATTCATTTTGATGATTAATAAGGTGAATAATATTGAATAATCCTAAGGAATGATCATATTTCTCCATTATTATTTTTGTTTTATTTAAAAAAAAAAAAAATTAAGGAAACTTAGGCCTATTTAATTCATTCATTTCTTGAAATTCATGATCATGCTCATAAACATGTATCACGGGTTCGTATAATAATTATATAGTAGACATCCTGCAGACCTGTTTACTTTGATGATTTTGGCGACCAATTTCGATGTCTTTTGCGACTCTCCGTCGAGACCCAGCAACAATTTTATGAGACCCGGTTGAAAAAAAAATATTAAGTTGCTTACCCTTATACCCCATCGATTTTACTCAGCCACAAATGACGTATGAGCTATGATGTATGACCGTGGTGGTGTGTTGGGAAAAAAAACAACAACACTTGGTGAAAAGTGGTGAGTAATTATTGTTGTGAGAGACAAGAAGCCATTTAAAAAAAAACAACAAAGGAGTGAGTTTAATTGAGTTATTAGTTTGTTGAGATGAGTACATCTTCGTCTCGTGGACTGGAGTTTTTTCTTCTACCGTGAACGCCAATTGTTACTAATTTATCATCATTGTAGACTGTGTTTCACCCAGAATACAAATCATTGAAAAATACTGATTATTCAAACTTTCTCGTGATTTTTTTGAATTGATACTGGTTTACTACACATCAGCCTAGTAGGGCGTAGAGGATAGGAGAAAACAACGGAGTTCTAGACTGAGATTGTTTCTGTGGCCGTACGGAGCGGACCTACTCCTAGACGACTATCCGTCACAACGGTCACAGTTACTTCACTCGGTCACAGAACTTTTATACAGTAACAGTCTTTGCATACAGTCACATTCCCTTCATACCATCACATTCCCTTCATACCATCACATTCCCTTCATACCATCACATTCCCTTCATACCATCACATTCCCTTCATACCATCACATTCCCTTCATACCATCACATTCCCTTCATACCATCACACTCCCTTCATACCATCACACTCCCTTCATACAATCACACTCCCTTCATACAATCACATTCCCTTCATACAATCACATTCCCTTCATACAATCACATTCCCTTCATACAATCACATTCCCTTCATCCAATCACATTCCCTTCAATCACATTCCCTTCTTAAACTACCGTCCCTTCATACAGTCACGGTCTCTTCATACAGTCACGGTCTCTTCATACAGTCACGGTCTCTTCATACAGTCACGGTCTTCTCATACATTCAGTTCTTTCATATAGTCACGTTCCCATGATAGTCACTTTCCCTTTATAGTGCCACAGTCCCCTTATATAGTCACGTTCCTTTTTTAGTGCCACAGTCCCCTTATATAGTCACGTTCCTTTTTTAGTGCCACAGTCCCCTTATATAGTTACGTTCCTTTTTTAGTGCCACAGTCGCTTTATATAGTCACGTTCCCTTTAAAGAGGCGCAGCCTCTTCATATCGTCACAATACAGTGTCATATTCACTTTCCAACCTCAGACTGTTGTCACGTGGCGGGCCCACCGTCACGTCGTGAACCCAGTGTCACGTCGGGAGCCCAGTGTTACGTCGGGAGCACAGTGTCACGTCGGGAGCCCAGTGTCACGTCGGGAGCACAGTGTCACGTCGGGAGCACAGTGTCACGTCGGGAGCACAGTGTCACGTCGGGTGCCCATTGTGACAATCGGAGGACCATGACACGGCCATCACATTAACTAAATGCCTAAAGCCCCCCCCCCCCTTATTTCCTTACCACGATGGCCCTGCCAAGGACTGACCAGTCCCCATACAAGGTCACGTGTGTCACGTCGGGTGCCCATTGTAACAATCGGAGGACCATGACACGGCCATCACATTAACTAAATGCCTAAAGCCCCCCCCCCCTTATTTCCTTACCACGATGGCCCTGCCAAGGACTGACCAGTCCCCATACAAGGTCACGAAACGGTCTGTGAGGACCAGCTCAGGAATCGTACCATTAGGTTCTTGTTGAATGTTGCCCAGGTCACCGTTGTGTCTGTTGAAATGAAAGGAAACGGTGGATTTTAATTAGGAGCGTCACAATCGATCAGCTGATCAGTCCACGTCAGTGGCTCCCAACTCTTTTTGATCCACGGAGCCGTTTTTAAACTTATTTTCTATAGGGGAGCCCCTTAGCCAATCGAATGTCTAGTAATTTAATAGTGTTTAGAACTTTTGAAGTCTTCTAGATCTGCCGTGGAGCCCCTGAGCTCACCATGACTCCGGGAAGCACCGGTTGGGAACCGCTGACCTACTCAATACCCATTAAATAATCTGATTATTTGCCATTACTGAAATATTATTTGTGTGTTTATAATTTTAAAATAATATGACTGAAGGGGCCACCCATAAGTTACGTCATGCTAATTTGTCCGATCCCCCCCCCCCAAAAAAAAATCGTCACAAATTCCATCCATTCATCCCTGTGGCAATGCAGCCCATGTAGGGCTTTGGCCTGCCTCACCACTTCCTTCCCTTCAGACTTCAGACCTAACAAATGCTTTTCTTTTCCATGACTGGATTCCAAATTGTAGAGCTTTTCCCACATCATCCATTCCTCTAAGCCTAGGTCCGCCTCTGAGCCGTTTTCCTCTGGGATTTTGGTGATGCACCCTCTTCACTCATCTGTCATTTGACATTCTCTCTAAGTGTCCTGCCCAGCGCAGCCTGCACTTTTTTTTTCTGCGACTATCGTCACAAATTAGTTTTAAAAATTGACACCCTCGTCACACAATCGTGGTGCCGCCCCCCCCCTTTTTGGTGTGTGTGGGGTAGGGGGGGGGTAAAATGACGCGAGGTCATTTATGGATGGCCCACAACTACAGGAACACCAATCAAGTAATGTATACATTGCACCAAATGTGGCTATATATGGATTTTAATTTAAACTTGGCATTATAGCAAAGTGTTTTACTTGAAGAATTTTTTATGCAATAACATTGACCAGGACCAAATTCCCTCATTCTGATGGTCCGAATTTAAAGTAATGTAACACAATGTAAGAACATGCTAAAAGGTCACCCTACTACCCCCCTTTGAGTTGTACACCATGCACACGGTCCCTAGTCCTTTCATGTAACACGGGGTTGTGAGAGTGGCAAGGGAAATTGGGGCTGATAGGCGGTATGTCTTGTCCACTTCATATTACGTTTTTGTCCTGTTTTTGATATGTATTCTTATCTTTGATATGTATTCTTATCTTTGATATGTATTCTTATCTTTGATACGTATTCTTATCTTTGATACGTATTCTTATCTTTGATACGTATTCTTATCTTTGATATGTATTCTTATGTTTGATATGTATTCTTATCTTTGATATGTATTCTTATGTTTGATATGTATTCTTATGTTTGATATGTATTCTTATCTTTGATATGTAATCTTATGTTTGATATGTATTCTTATCTTTGATATGTAATCTTATGTTTGATATGTATTCTTATCTTTGATATGTAATCTTATGTTTGATATGTATTTTTATGTTTTGTGGTTTTCGTGAGTGGGTGGTGGGGGCGGCAAAGTCCAAGAATTCCCCGGGTGTTAAAAACTCGTGGCTGCTCCCTGGTGTAGTAATTCCTTACATTGACATAATATATAACTGACATTAGAATGCACCTTAATTTCACATGCACCTGACGCTCATGGGTAACATTAATCTCATATGTGCCTTTTCATTTAAAGGTAACTTAAGTTCATATGGACCTGACACATATGATTTTATAGGTAACCTAAGTTCACCTGTACCAGACATTAAAAAGGTAACCTAAGTTCACCTGTACCTGACATTAAGAAGGTAACCCAAGTTCACCTGTACCTGACATTAAAAAGGTAACCTAAATTCACCTGTACCTGGCATTAAAAAGGTAACCTAAGTTCACCTGTACCTGACATTAAAAAGGTAACCTAAGTTCACCTGTACATGACATTTAAAAGGTAACCTAAGTTCACCTGTACCTGACATTAAAAAGGTAACCTAAGTTCACCTGTACATGACATTTAAAAGGTAACCTAAGTTCACCTGTACCTGACATTAAAAAGGTAACCCAAGTTCACCTGTACCTGACATTAAAAAGGTAACCTAAATTCAACTGTACCTGATATTAAAAAGGTAACCTAAGTTCACCTGTACCTGACATTAAAAAGGTAACCTAAGTTCACCTGTACCTGACATTAAAAAGGTAACCTAAGTTCACCCGTACCTGACATTAAAAAGGTAACCTAAGTTCACCTGTACCTGACATTAAAATGTATCTAAAGTTCACCCGCACCTGACATCAAAAAGGTAAATTAAGTTCACCTGTACCTGACATTGTCCTCTTTCGCCCCGTGATTCACGCCACAGGGGTTGTAATGTCCTCCAGCAGATGTACACCCCGCTGTCAGATCTCCAAACTCGTGCACGTGGAAACCATGGAGTAACTGAGAGGGGGCCGTTGATGGGTCAAACTCTTTAAACCCTTGAAGCTTGATTGCAATCGTTATAGGGCTGCGGGGGTTCAGCTGTCAGGGAGAACAACAATACTGACAAGTTTATACACATCCGGACACGTTCATACACATCCAGAAAGTTTATACAAATCCGGACAAGTTTATACACATCAGGACAAGTGTCAAAGGATCAACTCACGTTTCTTAACACCGGAAAACGTTTTTAAAAACACAATTTCACAAAAACTATAACACTAGTCCACAGCTCCCCAAAAACTATAACACTAGCCCACAGCTCCCCAAAAACTCTAACACTAGCCCACAGCTCCCCAAAAACTCTAACACTAGCCCACAGCTCCCCAAAAACTATAACACTAGCCCACAGCTCCCCAAAAACTATAACACTAGCACAACAGCTCACCAAAAACTATAACACTAGCCCACAGCTCCCCAAAAACTATAACACTAGTCCACAGCTCCCCAAAAACTATAACACTAGCCCACAGCTCCCCAAAAACTATAACACTAGCCCACAGCTCCCCAAAAACTATAACACTAGCTCACAGCTCCCCAAAAACTATAACACTAGCTCACAGCTCCCCAAAAACTATAACACTAGCCCACAGCTCCCCAAAAACTATAACACTAGCCCACAGCTTCACAAAAACTATGACACTAGCCACAGCTTCCCAAAAACTATGAAACTAGCCCATAGCTCCATAAAACTATAATACCAGTCCACAGCTCCCCAAAAACTATAAAACTAGCCCAAAGTTCCATAAAACTATAACACTGGCCCACAGGTCCATAAAAACCATAAAACTACTCCAACAATAGCCCACAGCTCCATAAAACTATAACACTAGCCCACAGGTCCACAAAAACCATAAAACTACTCCAACTATAGCCCACAGCTCCATAAAACTATAACACTAGCCCACAGCTCCCCAAAAGCTATAACACTAGCTCACAGCGCCACAAAAACTACAACACAGTTACCAGGGCTGTTACAAAGATGTTTACTTTAAAGAATAATAAACAGGGAAAGGTACTTTCCAAACCGATTGTATAAAGTACATCGCATTTCAACGGGGTCAGCGGACAAATTGGAACTTAGTAAATAGTGATGTTTGCATTGGGGAGCACATAGAACAGAAGCAGACATTTGTTATGTATTCATGGAGATGGGGTGTACAGAAAGTCGGGTTGTACGAGTGGGGGGGGGGGGGGGAGGAGACGGGATGGGTGGAGATGCCATTACAGGNATAAAACTATAACACTAGCCCACAGGTCCACAAAAACCATAAAACTACTCCAACTATAGCCCACAGCTCCATAAAACTATAACACTAGCCCACAGCTCCCCAAAAGCTATAACACTAGCTCACAGCGCCACAAAAACTACAACACAGTTACCAGGGCTGTTACAAAGATGTTTACTTTAAAGAATAATAAACAGGGAAAGGTACTTTCCAAACCGATTGTATAAAGTACATCGCATTTCAACGGGGTCAGCGGACAAATTGGAACTTAGTAAATAGTGATGTTTGCATTGGGGAGCACATAGAACAGAAGCAGACATTTGTTATGTATTCATGGAGATGGGGTGTACAGAAAGTCGGGTTGTACGAGTGGGGGGGGGGGAGGAGTAGACGGTATGGGTGTAGATGCCATTACAGGTGTAGTGTATGTGTTAGTGCAGGTGTAGTGTATGCGTCAGTGCAGGTGTAGAGTATGCGTCAGTGCAGGTGTAGTGTATGCGTCAGTGCAGGTGTAGTGCATGCGCCAGTGCAGCTGTAGTGCATGCGCCAGTGCAGCTGTAGTGCATGCGTCAGTGCAGCTGTAGTGTATGCGTCAGTGCAGCTGTAGTGTATGCGTCAGTGCAGCTGTAGTGTATGCGTCAGTGCAGCTGTAGTATAATAATTATGTAGTAGAGATTTCTTTTGCGATTCTCCGTCGAGACACGTCAGAACAACAATTTTAAGAGACCCGGTCAAAAAGAAAATAATCCCCACCCCCCCAATCTCTGTGGGTGAGGGAAGTCGGTCGCCGAACGAAATAATTGCGTCACCAGCACGGAAAGACTAGTGTGTTGGTACTCGGCTAAGCATTACTGCAGCGATATCTTGCCAGCTATTTATGAAAACATAAAGCATTATTATGACGATAGCCGTGAAAAATTGTGGTGATATTTTTATAGCCTTAATGACTGATTTGTGAAAATTGGCTCTATTAGAGCCATAATAAGTATTGTAGATATGTCTAGGTAGCATTGTAATTTTATTATAAAAGTAAAGGGCACTCAAGGGTCTATCTTGCATGAATTTTGCCCCCCCCCCACCCCCGGGTCCTAATTTTCTCTTACCATACTACTTTAAAATACATTTTAAAGAAATTTAAATTACTTTTAAATTAAATTCGTAAGCCAAAGTATTCATTATTTATTAATATTCACCATGATCTAATTGTTTCTAAAAAGAATGTAACTATTGATACTTACCCCCCACCCCCCCAATCATTTTTCGATGTATGCATAATGTATGCGTGAACGAATTTCAAAATATCTAAATCTCTCGGTTTCGGTGGCCGAAAGTCTCGTTAAGCTTTTGGTTTCGGTTTAGGCCGAAAGTAAATTTTAACTTTCGGCCTGGTTTCGGTTTCGACAGAAATCAGAAAAAATCATGGTCTCTAGTGTAAGGTATGTGTCAGTACAGGTGGAAAGGTGGTACAGATAGGCAGGTTGTACATGTGTGGGGGCAGTATAGGGGGGGGAATTGTTTGTACAAGGGTTTGGGTCAGTACAAGGGGCGGTTTGTACAAGTGGAGGGAAGTTGAGAGGAAGCATGGAGCAATAAGGAAGTTGTGTAGTGGATAAGTCGTTTGATGTGAGGACCACTGACCTGTGTAAACGTGACAGTCCCTGTAACTTTCTGTTGAGACCCTGGATCAGGCTGGACCACACACACGGCCCGTCTGATGGCTGGGGAATGAACCAATAAACATTTGATGACATGTTTTTAATGGAATGTGACAGTGGCAGTGTGATGGCATGTGACAGTGTCAGTGTTTTCTGGCAGGTGACAGTGTTTGATAGCATGTGACAATGTTAGTGTTTCATAGAAGGTGACAGTATCAGTGTTTGATGGCATGTGTCATTGTCAGTGTTTGATGGCATGTGTCATTGTCAGTGTTTTGTGGCAGGCGACAGTTTCAATGTTTTGTGGCAGGTGACAATGTCAGTTTTTGATGGCAGGTGAATGTTTCGGTAAAGTTGTTAAATGGATTCTACCAGATTAAATGATGAAAATAGCAGACTCATCCTCCGACCTCTTACTCCCAATTCCTCATCCTCCCATCTCATCCTCCCATCTCATCCTCCCATCTCATCCTCCCATCTCATCCTCCCATCTCATCCTCCCATCTCATCCTCCCATCTCATCCTCCCATCTCATCCTCCCATCTCATCCTCCCATCTCATCCTCCCATCTCATCCTCCCATCTCATCCTCCCTCATCCTCCCATCTCATCCTCCCATCTCATCCTCCCATCTCATCCTCCCATCTCATCCTCCCATCTCATCCTCCCATCTCATCCTCCCATCTCATCCTCCCATCTCATCCTCCCATCTCATCCTCCGATCTCATCCTCCGATCTCATCCTCCGATCTCATCCTCCGATCTCATCCTCCGATCTCATCCTCCGATCTCATCCTCCGATCTCATCCTCCGATCTCATCCTCCGATCTCATCCTCCGATCTCACCCTCCGATCTCACCCTCCGATCTCACCCTCCGATCTCACCCTCCGATCTCACCCTCCGATCTCATCCTCCGATCTCATCCTCAGACCTCATCCTCAGACCTCATCCTCAGACCTCATCCTCACATGAGCATGTTATCGTTATGGACTATGGATAGTTCACTCAGTATGATGTCACCCATGGCAGGGATGACATCATAGTTCACTCAGTATGATGTCACCATTGGCAGGGATGACATCATTTTTCACTCAGTATGATGTCACCCATGGCAGGGATCGTCCATTCTTCCTATAAACATCTTTCATGTAAACTCTTAAACCCTGACCCAGGAATGTGTTCGCTTGTCAACGACACGTCGACCTTTTCTCATATCTAGTATGATTATATACTTAACAAACCACACAATTTAATTTAGTACGCCGTCCGCCCACCGTCCAGATATGTACATGCATATTAATTGGAAAAAAGAAAATCAATGCAGAATCTTTTTTTAACGGCTGTAGTTTTAAAACTATAATGGGAATATTGACACATTTATTTTGTCTATGGAGCATCCAGTGACTTGAGCAGGGTTTCTCGGAATGTTCTATACTCTGCACTCTGCACCCCATTTGAAGTGTTTCCCCCGACAAACTACTTCACTTAGCCGTACATCGGGGGCTGTTTCAAGTAAAAGCTGCGCCCCGGTAAAAAGTCCCAATTTCGGCATCCTCTTTTAAAAAAGTTTTAACAAAAAAAGAATACAAATTATTGGCACGTACAACGAACATTTTGGAGTCCTCTGAAACTGGCCCTCGGGGCGGGTACCCCCTTCACCACCCCAACCTTCTCGTGTGGCCATGCTCGCACCTCCGACAAAAATGACAATGCAATTTAAAATTGGAATTCGTCGAAAGGTTTTACTCACTGTAGGAACTTGTAAAGCTTAGAAAATCAACATATGAGTTATACCATAAGAAGAAACCATTCGAGTAGAAACTTTCGTAACTTCAAAAAAAAAAAAGCTCCTCTATTTCTTATAAGCACTTTCCCTCGCACTCACTGGAGGTCGGGAGTACCATAGTTTGAGAAACCCTGGACCAGGGCCGTGCAAAGGACGAGGCAAACCAATGAAGAAAAACAACACCAAAAAAAAACAATCTTGTTCCACTGATTACTTACCAAAGCTGATGTCCTGACATAATATAAACCACAGTCCCAGCAGCACTAACGAATTCATAATGTGTTGGTATCCCCAGAGGTCGTGGCGTTGAGAGCGGTTGTGATGCAGGCGACGAAGTGAGCTAAGCCAGTTGCTCTTACCTTGTGATTGGTACGGTAAAGTAACCCGACTGGAGCCGCTGAGCTGTTAACAAAACTTCCCACGGGACAAGTGCTTGGTCACTCACAATTTAAATAAATGCCATGAACCCCAACCCTTCCCATTCACGGGTAACGGTTCTAAAATAGATTTATACCCAACGCATCATTTCTATAGCTGCAATTGGTGGCGGGTGCTAGTCATGGGCACATCTGTCGCCTAATGAATAATTATAATGGCTGCATGCCAAAAACACGCAGCGAAATTCAAAATTACCGTTACATTTACCCAGCAGTTAATTTCTCAACAATCTACCCAGTAGTTAAGTTCTCAACAATCTACCCAGTAGTTAAATTCTCAGCCATATACCCTGTAGTGAAGTTCTTAACAATATACCTAGTAGTTAAGTTCTCAACAATATAACTAGTAGTTAAGTTCTCAACAATATAACTAGTAGTTAAGTTCTCAACCATATACCCTGCAGTGAAGTTCTCAAGTTCTCAACAATATACCCAGTATTTAAGTTCTCAACAATATACCCAGTAGTTAAGTTCTCAACAATATACCCAGTTGTTTAGTTCTCAACAATATACCCAGTAGTTAAGTTCTCAACAATATACCCAGTAGTTAAGTTCTCAACAATATACCCAGTATTTAAGTTCTCAATAATATACCCAGTAGTTAAGTTCTCAACAATATACCCAGTGTTTTAGTTCTCCACAATATACCCAGTAGTTTAGTTCTCAAATAGATACCCAGTGGTTTAGTTCTCAACAACATACCCGATTTTTTTTTAGTTCTCCACAATATACCCAGTAGTTTAGTTCTCAAATAGATACCCAGTGGTTTAGTTCTCAACAACATACCCGATTTTTTTTAGTTCTCAACAATATACCCAGTGGTTTAGTTCTCAACAATATACCCAGTTGTTTAGTTCTAAGCTTCGCTAAACTCCACATGGTGTGTCAATTAAGTTTTTTCAACCCAACCTTCACAATTGTCAAAAAAAAAAAAAAAAAAAAACGACGACTGAGCCGTCACGACGATTACTTCAACAAAGCATTCTGGTGTAAAGCACTTGTCAAATTTTTTTTTTTAAAGTTAGAAAATATATTATTTAAAAAAAACATTTATGAGACATACATGATCCTTGCCCCCCAACCGCACCACAGCGCGAGAACCAGTTATCTCGTGTTCATCTCACTTTAAAGTGAATTGATTTACTTTTAAAATTTTTTTTAATCAATTCACTTTAAAGACTTTTTTTTTTAAAACCCTCTCTTTGTCGTTAAACTTTTAGGCGACATTAAAAAAGCGATCGGTGAAAATATTAAATCCAAAATCTTTGCCGTATGTGAGTTCGGATGTAAGTATAAAAAAAAAGATAGATATTCTTTTTTTAAAAAAAGTGTTTATAGGTAGGTACATGCGACACCATGATGTTTCCGAACAACAGTAGGTAGGCTATGAAAAAAGGACCATATTTTATTTTCTTTGTTTATATTTGATGCTTGAAAAAAGAAATCCTGTGGGGAAAAAAGTAGGTCTTTTTTGCAGTGGTTTGATTTTACGTTGGGAAAAGGAAAAAAAAGGGGGGGGGTGTAGGTAAGAGGTCATTACGATTGGAACCGAATGAAATAATATTGCAATAACGCAATAAAGGTGCTAATGGGATAGCCTACTTTAATAATATTGCAATAACGCAATAAATGTGCTAATGGGTAGCCTACTTTAATTAAGAAATAATAATGTGTTTCTTGAAAAGCTAATTAGCCTCAAAGGCTGACCAAGAAAAATAGGGCATCAGCGGGCGCCGCTTTGGTCAGCGGGCGCCGCTTTGGTCAGCGCTGAGAAATTACAACAGCTACTCAAAATTAAAACAGAGTTAAAAAATATAAAAAATAAAACCCCCCAAAAAACTGTAATTAGGGGCGGCCAAAATAAAAAAAAGAAAAGAAGACTGAAGAGTTGGACTTCCTACCGACAGAGTGCACGCTGCTGCGCCCTTGCTTCAGTGTGCAACACCAACAACACAAAGGAAAGGGCGATAGATTGAACTAAAACAAAACATGACGTCACAAAGCTTTGAATTTCAAGGATGAAAAACTCGTCTGCAAAACTGCCCCACTTATTTTGATCTGATTTTACGTTCACTATGGCAGGGGTCCTCAAACTGTGGTCCACGGGCCACCACGTTTTTCTTTCTTTTTTTTTTTTTAACCCGCCCCACGTAGTAGTCGTAAATATGGAAACGGATATTGCATAAAGGTTAAACCAAACACGGGCTCATACTGACGATGGATAATGGATATGCTAATGACTTTATGTTGATTCCAATTATTCTTCATTTTCATATTTATATAGTTTTGTCCCCACTATTTTTTCGCACCACAAATAAGATATCTTTATATAAATGAGCAATGGAATTCGTTCATACAGACCGACCCCCAACAGTGACTGAAGGGCAGTGAACCGGCCCCTTGTGTCAGAGAGAACAAAACACCCTTCCCCCCCAATTAAAAAGCTTGGTGACCCCCTTCAGTAAGGCATCGATTATCCGTATGTTTTATGTTATAGATCATAGACTACATCTGGTTACATTCAGCAGTATGTTTTATGTTATAGATCATAGACTACATCTAGTCACATTTAGCAGTATGTTTTATGCTATAGATCAGAGGTCCTTTAACCTATGGCATGGCTCGCGAGCCAGATATGGCTCTATTGATGGCTGCATCTGGCTCACAGACATATGTTCGATTATAAAAAAAATGTTTCTTTAGACTCCTTTGATCTACATATTAATTGCATATCAACATTTCATTCTACAAATGAGCTAAAGTCTACTGCAGCTCAGCATCAAAAGATAAACTCCGCTGACCTTAAAGACAGAAAAATAGCAACACTGCATTCATTGTCATTAAAGGGAAATAATTATTGCATTTTTAGTATTGAAATGACACAAAAATGCACACATTTACTAGAATTTTTAGTTTTAAACATAATGTATGGCTCTCAAAGAATTACTTTTCAAAATATGTGGTGTCCATGGCTCTCTCAGACAAAAAGGTTCCCGACCCTGCAGTATAGATCATACTGGTCATATTTATATTTAGCAGCATGTTTTATGTTACCCCCCAGCTTTCAAGTCCCATCGTTTCTCACTACTGCACCTGAAACGTTACACCGCTTATAAAGAAATCCTATTAATTGACAAGCAGATTAACTCATAATAGAGATCCTATCGGGGATGATTCGGCTGCTCTTTAAATGGCAACTTTCCCTTAACGCCGTAACTTGTAAATGCTGTGAACTCTCACCTTTCGAACTACACCGATTCTCCTGGTCTGTGTTATTGCATAAGAGAGATCTCTTTAATCTTTTACAGGATACGGTATTACGGTACCTAGTGTTATTTTGGAGAGGAAATGGAGAGGAAAAAAGTGATCTGTTTTCTCTAGGAGCGAGTACCGGGTACACCTGAACACAAGTTTCCCATTTAAGTAATACCTGTATGTGCACATTATAAACGTTTAAACAAGCCATTACACTCAGATACATCTTTAAGTGCGAAACGCACGGGACGGTTGGGGGGGGGGCACCAAATAGAAATTTCAGAGTTCATTCGAATGGGTTTCACAATAGATCTAAGTTAAAATTTAAATGCAAAAAGGAGGGGGCCACCAGAGCAGAGTTTCCCGTGAGCAGGGTGCCAACAGAGCAGGGTTTAACGTGAGCAGGGAAAAAGGACGTGGGAGAAGTCTAGTAGGCGTCACACCGTAGATGACCTTACCACACAGGGTGACGTCAACCTTAGAGTGACGCCACTGATCACACTCATGCCAACACAAACACATTCAATCAAACAAACTCTGCACAACCATTGTGACCGGCAAGTTGTTGGAATGATACTTTATTCTCATTGATCAAGTTTCTGCTCTAGAAAATGACATAACACCGAGAGTGGATGATTGATATTTAAGCATTGCATGATTGAGAAAGAGATTGGATGAGAGGCACAGTAGGTCAGACATAACATTTGTAGTTTTGTAGTAAAGAGTTGGATGGTTCATTGAAAGACAAGTCATCAAACAAATGTAAAGGACCAATGGTGGAGAAGTGGAATCATAAGTACACAATATTATGCATACAAATATTTATAGTTTTTTTTTACATCAATTTTTAGAAAAAAAGAATATTGCGCTGGTCCCAACTTAACTTTTTTTTCTTCTTTTTTCTCATGAGTCCAAGGCTAACGAGTCCCATCGTCCCGTGGTGCTATATCAAAATTTGAATCATAAATATTTCTCAGTCTTTTGTGCAACCATTTAAAAAAATCTGGCACTGACAATTTCAAATTCCCAGTTTTCAATTCTCCATTAAATATTAAAAACTTAATCGAGTTTAAAACAAAAAATGAGAAAACATGTCAAGTGTATGTTTGTTGTTGTTGTATTTACAACTTTTTTTTCAAAATGAATTGTTTCTTCTCCCACCGAGGACTGACTAGCCATTTTATTAATACTATAAACCAAATCTACTGTTGGTTGGGTCAGTGCATTTATCTTCTGGCAATTTTTTTTTTATGACCATCTCATTCTCTTCATCAATGAATGTTCTCTCATTTGGACATAGAAATCTTGTAGTTCGTAGATTCATTCTTTGATAAGATACTGTAAATCAGAATTCCTGGACTGCATCAATTTTAAAGGCCCCTGATAAAAAAAAATCATGTTCTAACGACATATTTAAAATATTATACAAACACAAATGAGAAATGCTTCATTTAAAATGAATGACAGATATAAAATGCACCATACAATTACAATGGGAAAAGGCACCATACAATTACAATGGGAAAAGCTTAAGTTCTAAATGAAAGAACCCATACACAGTTGAAATGATCAATAAGGATAATTTCAATACAACCCAAACATAAAGATCCAATGGGAGAGTTATTTGTATAACAAGAAGTGGCCATGCCCCCCAACTATGGTTTCATGAGCTGACATTGGTTAGACAGTCAGCTGACATTGGTTAGACAGTCAGCTGACATTGGTTAGACAGCTAAGTCCAAAGTGGAATTTTTTCTTGACCCACTGGTTAAAAAATAAGGTGGTGCCATAGAATGCAAAAAACCTACACATAAAAAGAGTGTTTTGAAAAATTATTTTTCCCTTTTCATGTTTAATTTATTCGAAGAATAATAAAA